TGCTTCCATATTTGTTGCTTAATGGGTAGTAGGTGCATTTCAAGGTTCAGTGCTGGCCGTGAGGTCGCCTTGTATGCCCCGCTCACAGCGCGGGCCCCTCGGGCTTGAATGGCCTCTAGTCTGTTCAGCGTCTGTCCTGTGTACGGTCTGTTATTGTGGCTGGAGTTCGACCATAGCAAGCTGGCGTACATCATCTGTGGGATCGCGACCCCGCGGTAGATTTTCCACATGCTCCTGAGGTCTATGCCCCACGTTGAGCTGCCAAGGGCCCCAATGGCATGCACTGTCTTGGCTGTCTTGCGCTTGATCTCCGCGATGTGCTCCTTCCATTCGAGCTTGCTGTCCATGGTAACGCCTAGATATTTGCATGTCCTTATGGGAGTGACGATGCCCAATACTGTCTTCAGGGGCTGCATCATGACAGTTTTCCTGGCCCTCAAGAAATAAACCAGTTGGAACTTCTCCGGAGCGAATTTCGATGCATGGGTTATGGACCAGTGTTACGCCCTCTGCATTGCCCGTTCCAGCTTCAGAGTGGTCCCTACTGTAGTAGGCCCGCAGGCGAGTATTGCTGTATCATCGATGTATCCTGTAGTGGTCACTTCTGTGTTGCAGTCATCTATTAGGTCTGAATTATATAGGATATACAGGATAGGTGAGAGTGGTGATCCCTAAGGTATTCCAGTTTGTATCGCGTACTCCTCTGACTTGAAATTGTCTATCATGATCTGCGTGCGCCTGTCTGCAAGGAGGCTGGCAATCCAGGCGACGATCCGTTCGTCAACTCGTCTTTTCCTAAGCACATATAGGAGCCTTTTATGAGAGATGTTATCGAATGCTCCAGACACGTCCAGGAGCAATAGGCTGGCAACTTCTCCTTTGTTCCATGCTTCATATATCTTCTCCACAATAGAGTGGAGGGCGTGGTCCGTTGATCGCAGCCGTCTCCCGCCTATATATCAGGGCGGTATCATTTGGTAGGCCTCTACCAAGTAGCTCAGTCTCCAGGCAATTATAGTATCTATTACCTTTCCTATTGTATTGAGTAACACTATAGGCCTGTATGCCTTCAGCACTGCATAGTTATCTTTGCCTGGCTTTCTGAGCACTACTGTGGTGGATGTCCTGAAGTGTTCCAGGCAGTAGCCTAATCTGAGGCTCTGGTTAAAGATATTGGCGAGGTGTTTTACTAGTAGCTTAGCTCCTGCCTTGAGCGCCTTGTTTGCTATCCCATCTGGGCCCGCCATCTTCAGCAGGGCGGTGGCCATTACAGCCTCTAGAACCTCCTTCTCCATGATCTCTGGTAGGTTTATCTGCTGGTCATACTATGCATTCTGGATGTCGTCGAGATCGGCCATCGGAGGCGCTGGGAAGAATACTTCTCAGAAAATCCGTACCTTCTCCTCAGTATCTGTCACCTCCCATCCTATATTAGGACATCGAATCGCTGGTGTGACGCTTGGAGGTTGGTTCTCCCTTGTCCTGGCCCACTTTGCTACCTTCCAAAGAGACTCAGGAGTAGCCGCTGCCATCTCTACCCTGTCTCTGTGTGCTGCCTTTAGAGCCTTCTTGACCATCTTGGTCTTCAAGTTCCGTGCAGCTTTGTACGTTTCCCACGACTCCACTGTGCGGTCCATACTATAGAACCGCTTAAGTCATTTTACTTCGGCTAGTACTCATTTGCATTCTGTGTTCCATCCCTCTTTTACCCATAGTAAGGGGCATGTTTTAGGGAGGACTTTGTTTGCCACCCTGTCGATCGCGCTTGCAATCTCCTTGGTGTATCGATCCAGTGCCCTCTTAGTTCTCAGCCGCTGTACCTGAGGTAGTATCTATACGAGCGCCTTCCGAAACCTCTCTTCCTCAAGATGCTTCCATCGTCTCACGGGTTTCCTCTCTCCGTGTTGGACTCTCAGATCCATGACTATGCTGATCGGTAGGTGATCAGAGTCGTGCTCCATATCTCTGTCTACTTCGCACCAGATTATCCGATCTGCTAATCCTGCAGACATCCAGCAGAGGTCGATTGTCGTCCTCTTTTCTCCCTCTTCATATGTGATTGCTCCTTGGCGGAGTGTGCTCATCATACCTATGCTCTGCATAACGTCCGGCAGCTCCTCTGCTTCCTCCTCGTGTTTGTCTACCCTTTCTCCACCCCATACTGGGTGATGGAGGTTGAAGTCGCCTAGCGCTATCTGCTCTTCCGCACTGTTCTCCTAGCAGACTTCCTGTACCTTTGGAAGCGCGCTCTCGCGTCCTTCCGAGTATTGCAGTGGGTTATACACATTATATATGATGATCTGGCTTCCATCCCCACTTTCCTCGCTCTGTCTGATGTATAGGGTACATACATCCGTAGTGTGTGCTTTAAATTGCCATTTGCTCTAATCCAGCCTCTTGTTCACAAAGAAGCAGACCCTTGCCATCTTGCCCTCCTGTTCGGGTGGGTAGCAGAGGTAGAAGGTCTCCTTGGCTGGATGGTGTGTGGTGTCCATGTATAGGTTCTTCCATGGTTCCTGGATGGCCACGATGTCGTATTCTGCCGTCCTAGCGTCTCATATCAGCATGGCTATTACTGTGTCCTTTGATTTTCGAACATTATACTGTAGTATACTTAATTAAACGTGCTCCACTATTATGGGGGGGTCATATGCATGTTGTCCTCTATTTCTATGGTGGTGATTTCATTGGTGTCTCGCGCCTCCAACGCCTTACATAATGGCTGTACCACGCGTGGCGACCTCTGTCTGCTTGCCAGCGATTCATTCTCCCTGTTCACCTCATTTCTGGCCAGCCCGGTATTAGTCTGCTTCAAGGCCCAGCCTGCTTGGGAGGCGGTCAGGTCCCTCGTTGACCTTTATCTCTTCATTCCAGTTATGGGGTTTCTAACCTGGGCTACTGGCTTCGGGTTCTCAAGTACCGGATGGTACTTGGGTCGGTTGTCGTATACCGCCTTGGTCCTGGCAAGCTGTTCCTTCCTGATCTTGCATTGGCGGTTCCAGGACTCATGTGGGCCATTACAGCCTGCGCACTTCTTAGGTGTGTCGGCTTTCGAAGGGCAGTCCCAGGAGTTATATTCTTGCGCGCAGTGGCTATATGCTGTTATGGCTTTGCATTAGGTTCCAATGTGGCCGTATTTCTGGCAGTTAAAGCATTGCTTCAGGCGGCATTATTGTTCGTATCTCTCGGTATCATAGTAGCACCCCTACCATATTAACCCTTTATCAATGATCTTATTTGCATCTTCCGGCTTAGTAAACTTGATTACCAGCATAGACATCCTCTTGGTCTGCGCCTTCCGACTGAGCCATCCAATGTATTTGATTTCTGCTGTTAGGATAAAGGGTTTGTTTTCACTCAAGATAGCGGCGTTGATTTCGTCCAGTCTGTCCATATCCACATCTTTGGTATATACGCTGTGTATGAGCACACTATATATCTGGCTGCGTATTGACATTCCATTCCCTATCCTAGGGACCCATTCCTGGGTGGACTGTCTGAGCGTCTGTGCTTCGCCCGGTGTAACTGTTTTTATGCTAATGTCTCCGCTCATGAGTTGGTTTACAGACATGACCTTTGCGTTGGTTACTCCGCTTTAGGCTATAGCTTATTCAACATGGGCTTTCAGGTTGCGTGGGTTCATGGAACGCAGGTGGTGGATCGTTTGTGCATTTCTAATATTCACGATGATCTCACGATGCGTTTAAGCAGGAGGTCTGGTGTTTTGTGGACTATATGTACTTGTTGCCGTTGCTCCTTTCGCTGCCATGGCGGCATAGCTTGCCATAGCCTGCTGCTGGTGTGTCCCTTTGTTTCTGAGTACTGTCCTGCCTATATCGACTGCCTCAATCGCCGCTGTCTTCGCTTCTTTACCTGCTGTTACTGCTGCTTATATATTTGCCTTTGTTGCCTCTATGTCTTCTCAGAGGTGTCGGAAGGCTTTATCTATATTTTTCTATCCTTTCTCTGTCTCTGTGCGCAGTCGATCTACTTTCTCTTCTAGGGAGGCTATATCAGGGGTATCCTTGATTTTAGCGAGCGCGAGTAACGCGCTCTTGAGGGCTTTGCTTAGTTGCTTTCTATCGATCTCTTTCTCTCTTTCTACGACTTGCAATGTATCGCTGAGCTGCTTCATGATTTCTAGGACATGCTCTCAGAGGTTGGTGGGCCCAGTTACCTCCTGGGACCAGGACGTCGCCATGTCTTACGGCCGCGCTGGGCGGTGCGGCTTCCGAGAAAGCAGTTTCCGGTCTTTAGGAGATGTATATGAACACAATTGAGCTCTTTTATTCCAAAGGTGAGAGTTCTCGCTGTTGTTGTGCTTTTATGTTGGCTAAT